ACAAACTAAACATGCATGCCTTGAGTGGGGTTCGAACCCACGGTCCCGGCTTCCGAGCGAGCGAAGACAGTACATGCCTTAGACCGCGCGGCTACCGTGACCGGCAGTGTATAAGAATAATATATAAGAACTCAGTCCGTACCTCACAGGAAACAGCTCCGAACCCACGGTCCCGGTTTCCAAGCGAGCGAAGACAGTACATGCCTCAGACCGCTCGGCTACCGTGACCGGCATAGTGCATTCAGATGCAGCCAATATAAGCATTGGTTTACATCTAGAGTAAATATTTGACTGAGTGAGGGGTCCATTCACTGGCGAGTAGGACATGTAGCCAGTAGAAGCAGACCCGAGGCTGAAACTGTTTAGTTGTGGTCTGAACCGTGCGTAGGGAGTTTGCTACTGAGATGGCTCCTCGTGTATTGTGGTGTGCCTTTAATTGTAATCTCTGTAATGGACATAAAGAGAAACATAATCATGTTATGTCCGACGGTAAGTAAACACAAGCGCAAAGATTATGTCTCAGCTTACACCACCATGCATTTGACCTACATTTGTTTATTTTAAATATGCTAATTGCCACAGAATGTGTAATGTAGTGTGTTTCCTTAACGTTTTAAGGCCCAAAGGTAAAAGTAAATGGTAAAGCTGTCCCTTGCTTAGCTAATTAAATCTTACGCCGTCAAGATGTATGGGGGAGTGAATATCCACATATTCTTGACCTCATCACTAGTTTGACGCACCGGCCACTTCACCCCAATGTATGGGAGGCTGGGTGGGCCCCAGAAACGAACTGGGCAATGTGGTGAGAAGAAAATTTTGCTCCTACCGGGACCTGAACTGAAACCCCCCAGGCAGGCCAAGCTGTAGCATGCATTGAGCTCGGCTCCGCTCATTATATACGGGACTGTTTTGATACAAAACTTGCTGTAGTCTGGGTGGGGCTTGTATGGGATGAATTTTCCTTGGGCTCTCCGGGTCTCTTAGCTGTTTACTATATCGGAAAATGTTTCAGATATAAATTAACTGTGTCTGCGAGGGCCGCGCCATAGCCCCAGCGGTTAGTCGCTGGCTTCCCATCGCGGCGGCCCGGGTTCGATCCCGGGTCTGGTCAAGTGGGATTTGTGGTGGACAAAGTGGCGCTGGGGTAGGTTTTCTCCGAGTACTTCGGTTTCCCCTGCCAATCTTCATTCCACCAATTGCTCCACAATCACCCTCACCTATCATATGGGACTGGTACAATAGGCCAGAAGTGGCCGCAGTACAAGGGACTTAGTCCCACCCCACTAGCAATAAAAAAAAGCTATATCTGCATTATATATATAGTCTACATTTTTTGTGGAATTTGTATCATTTTCAGATAACCGATAAAGGCAGATATAACTTTCATGTGAAGAAAGCGTTGTGTTAAAACTGATATGAATGGAAATTGCATTCGATGGATAACTGCTGATATTACTACAGGATGACTCGTAAAAAGGTTACCAGAACAGATTCTACAGTATGGATCAAGAGGGCGCCGAGACCGAGGAAGACTTTTTTTCTCATTATTATTATCATCATTATTATTAGTGGGGCGAGACTGAGTTCACTTGGTACTGTGGCTACTACTGGCCTATTCTACATGCCTCAGATGATAGGTGAGGGTGATTGTGGAGCAGTTGGTGGAATGAAGATTGGTAGGGGAAACCGAAGTACTTGGAGAGAACCTGCCACAGCGCCACTTTGTCGGCAGGGGCAAGAGATTTTTCTCTGCTTCACAGCGTCCAGACCGGATCTTGTGTCCACCTGTCCTATCCAATGGGTACCCGGGACTCTTTCCCTCCGGTTAAAGCGGCAGGAGCGTGAAGCTGACCACCTTCATCTAGTGCCGAGATCAAGAATAGTGAAAGTGTAACTCTGCTCCCCATGTATGTCTTCAGGACTTCGTGCTTAATTAATTAAACCCAGCGACAACTTCAGCTTTGCCTTAACTGTGTACTTTCTGTGAGCCACCGCCTGTCTCCTGAACGTATGGTTAAAGTGTAGTATATGGACTGCCGTGGCCGATCACAGTGGCCGCGCGGTCTAAGGCATGAACTGTCTTCTCTCCCTCGAACACTGGGATCGTGGGTTAGGATTTCACCCAAGGCATAGATGTCTGTGTGCGTTTATTCTGTGTTTGTGTTGTTCTGTGTGCAGGTAGCGGCCTTGCGATGGGCTGATCCCCCGTCCAAAGAGTCCTACCGGCTGTGTATAGGAATAAGAGACTGAAAAAGCTGCCAAGACCCAACAGAGGACTGTAGAGCCATAGATATGGACTGGCGTTCCCTACTGACCGAAAGCTAAGCCTGCTGCTGATCGTAGCAGAAAGTATTTAATCGTCCGTATGTGCTCTGTCGTATGTTCGAGCCCCTTACACGTCATTCCGAGAGGAAGGCCAGTCATAACCCTGTTAACTCTCCGTGACTAACTCTTATCGCTCAAGTGTAGCGAAGGAATTCCAGAGATTTAAACTGACTAAGCTGAGCAAACTGGATAAGGTCGGCCCATCTCTACTAAGTGATGAATCAGTGATATGAAAGTAGTGTGACTACTTGTCTGTATAGAGGTTTTCCGGCTATTCTGAGTAACGTACTGTCACCGTCGTAAAGGTATAGCTACATGACGTCACGACCCAGAAGATAGTATTCCTCGTAGTGACTGTCATGAGATCCTCAAAGCTAACAAAAATTATGAGTTAAAATGGTAAAGGTATCCCTGTAACAGGCCATGGAGACTCATAAGGTGAGACGTCGAGGCTCCCACATTTTCTCTAGACAATCGGCTCACAGATGGCGGTGAGGTCAGCTTTACGCATCGGCCGCTAGCACTTTGCCCCCAGTAAGATTCCTGGTATTCATTTCTGTTAGAAACTGAGTCGACCCCAGGGCCTTAGTGCGGCTGGAAGGGTTAGGTAAATTGAAAAAAATCCAGTGACCTCATCGGGACTGGAACCCGCGACATTCAGGCTTATAGCATAGTGCCTCAACCAACTACTCTACCGCGTGGTCCTAACAGAGTTTAGTATCATTATTAATTTGTCTTTATTCAGTCGTAGTGTATTTAACGACTCGTTGCATAATTTAGATTCTATAGCGTGTAGAATGATAAGGAAAGAAACAAACTCCGTGTCCTGTAGTCCGCAAGCGAACTATACCGACCGAGCGACTGCCCCTTTCGGCGAAGTTAATGCCAACTTTAGCGGATAGTGTGTGTGACGTCAGCGCAACGGATCCCCACGGCCGTTAATTTCGGTTTTCTAGACCGGAGAATGATAAGTAGATAATGAATTGGAAAGGATGTGGTAAGCTGTGGTCAGATTGTACCAGACTACAGGAGATCTCGTCCCACCCCCGTAGGAACCTACTGCTCCGATCTTACCCTGACGATGGAGGCAGCAATTTCGTTAGAATCATTGGTACCTCTCTACCAGACAGCAGTAACATGCATAGTCTCAGCTCGCTGTCTCTGTTTAGACCTGCAATTGTAGGGTTCTGTAAACTGGGCAGGCGCGTTCGTTGGCACTTCGCTGTGAATATGATTGCTAGAACCTGCAGAAGTGCGTGGTCACTGAACTGCTGATTGGTAACTGAGGTCATACTCCTTATGTTAATAAGGGCTTCGCTCTTGTTGTGTTCCGAGTCGAAGTGCTAAATGTTCGCAGAATGTGGTCTAATTGAGTGCGTCTGCTTTTCTTTAACTGTTTGAAACCGTAAAGGCAATATGTAAAGTTATCCCCATGCTTAATTAAGCACCACGCCATGAAGACGCATGGAGGATTGAAGGTATAGCTCCACCATTCTTGACCTCAATACTGTGGTGATGAGTGTTGAGCTTCACGCCTTTGCCGTTTTAACCTCCGGTACCAATTGGATAGGAGGCTGGATGGACTCCAGAGCCCATCTGGGCGCTTTGAAGAAGAGAAAAGTCGTATCCTTACCGTATGCTTTCATCGTTTGAAACAGTGGTTCATATGCAGTATATCACTCGCTTTTGACATTAAAATAATCGTTTTGCTTGCAGAGTGTGCAGGTTTGGTATGATTCTCAGATTAAACGATATAAATTCCCATAAACATAATCATCCGAATTGTTTGAGGGACGTAGCGCTGGGTATCCTGACACGAACCAGTTGTCTCCATGTTCCACCTGATATGGAGGCGGTAAATATCTACCAGACTTCACGGTGTCGTCCCCGAATACAGTAATCTTCATTGTCTCCATCTGGTAGCGTACTCCGGTAACTAAGTCGCTTTGTGTCTTTCTCTGTGTATGTATATATATATATCTGAATTAAAATCATAATAATACCGCGTCAGATACTTGTAACACATTGCGCCAGTAGAACGCTGCACGTGTTACTTGCAGACAACTGAAATTCTACTGGTAGATACTCCTGCAATGGTCTCTCTGTCGTCAACTGTCATTTTCTTTTAAAAAAAGCTTATTTAAAAGAGCATCTTGAAGCCTTCCTTTTGTAATTTCTTAGTATCTGATGTTATTATTAGATTATGCATACTTGGAGCCTTTAGTAGGACCTGAGAAAGGGTATGCAGTCCGTTATTCTCGACCTGTCCACTCTCAACAGAATGCGCAATGGGTTTTGTTGAGTCCACTGACTGAGATAGGGATTGCAGGGCGTGTATATGTTACAGGAGGTATTACTTACTGCATGTCACATCTCCCTGCCTTACATAGTGCAGTTACAACCACTGTCCCTCTACTTACCATATTCCTGACACGCAGCCCAGCGGCCAGGTTCAAAATCAGACTGTACATTTTAATGTGGGTCTTTCCTTTTATCCTGTTTTAAACTAATGACGAAACTTGTCTGACGTGAATTTCTATTGTAAGGGCAGGAACAATAGATTCGGAACCTTGTGGGTCCCCCTTTCAGCTATTGTGCAAGTTTCGAATGCAGAACGAAAGTTTTTAATGAAATTACTATAATTTGCTAATCACCCCGTTGTGTTCTGTCCGCAGGAGTTACGATGAGAGAAAAGAAGGGCGGAGCTCTAAGCCGGGTCCAGAAATTGAAGAAACGTCTCAGCCACAGTTTTGGCCGACTCTGTAAGTAATGAACTCAACTTCAAAGGTCTTATTGTTCATTCGTCACGAAGGCCACACCCTCACACAAACAACGGTAGTGTGAAATTTGTGTTCGCTCCTTAAAGCGATTGGCCCCTGTTGCACACGGCAGCAAAGTACTTTTCTTCAGGAAAATTGTCTACTGACATGTTGGTAGAAAGTTTCCATCCATCTTTGTGGGACCTTTTGCCTCCATCTTGCAGGTTCGAAGACGTTCTATCTTAAGGAAGGAGGCATTATGTGTTCCTCTTAACAGTACTAACTTTTAACAGACTACACGGCGTCACATACGAGAAGACATTATTAATATTCATACTAGTCAGAAGCTCAGGTCTCACCACGCTTTTCATGTTTCGTCCTTTAAACTTTGAAACCTTGTACCTTAACGATGGAGGTAACATGTTCCTTCGAAAATTTGCTAAATTTCTACACTGCGTCACGACCCAGAAGACAACAGTCTTCATATTCACGGCTGAGTCCACTTGGTACGCTAGACACTTGTTGGGCCTATTGTATGACCCACGGATGATATATGAGTGTGGAGAAGTCGGTGGAATGAGAATTGGCAGGGGAAATAGAAGTACTCTGAGAATGCTAGCCACATGCCACTTTCTCCACCTCAAATCCCACACGGACTGGGCTGGATTCGAACTCGGGCAAATGATAAAAAGCTAAAATCTATCCCTGTAACAGGCCGTGGATGCCTGTAGGGTTGTGAGACGTCGAGGCTGCCACATTTTGTAGACAATCGACTCACAGATGGCGGTAATGATGTTTCTGTTCTGTGTGATTTAGTATTCTGACAAGAAATATCCCATCTGAAAATGTTGCTTTGCCAGTAACGTCTGTTGCGGAGCTTTTTGCGCATCGCATGGCGCAAGCTGTCGCAGCGCATTTCCGTTCACTGGCCCCTGCGTTCCGATTGGGAGAGGCATGACTATGTACACCCACGCAGCCGTCGGAACACAGTATATCGTCATGTGTTCTCAAGAAGTGTGTTCGTGTAGTTGGGTTTGGCTGGTGTATTTGTGGCTATGAGGCATCCATGAACAGTGTCAGGAGTAGAGAACTGGATGCTTGTGTCCTGTCTGTCGAAAACATAATTCGAAGTACTTCGTGACAGCAATGATTACGAATGGTATACATACGGAATAGTGTGTATTAATCTCTGAAACCATGAAATGTACCCAGTAACAGCCCGTCGAGGCTCCCACAGTTTCTAGACAATCTGCTCACAGATGGCTATAAGGTTGTCAGCCTTACGCGCCGGCAGCCCTTTACCCCCTCTCAGGATAATTCCTGGTACTCATTTCTGTTAGAGGCTGAGTCGATCCCAGGGCCATAGTGCGGCTGGAAGGATTAGGTCAATTGAAAAAACCAGTGACCTCGTCGGAAATCGAACCCGCTACCTTCCGACTTGTAGCAGAGTGCCTGAACCAACTACGCTACCGCGTGTCACCGAAATATAGCAGTGGAAAAGTTATATTTGAAAACAAATCTGCATTTTATCTGTAAGTCTTTTGATTTCTCCTTGTCTGCATGACCAAATTCGCTGCTATTCTGTGCCCATAACATCATTGAGTATACATCCAGCCTTGCGGAAGTAAAGTCCCATGTGTTAAATGAGCTCTTTGGTATGGCGATTTGGTTCGCGTCTTGTGGTGAGAATAGAATATAGTAATTTTCTGATGAGGTAACGGTCTGTTGCACTTTCTGATGTCGACGCGCTCTCGAAGATGATTTGGACAAAATGTAGGAGCATTTCATAGCGCGTGAGTACCGCATTTCCTTGAACATAATGAGCACTATTATTTCTTGTTATTCGGGCGGGGCGAGTCTGAGTTCTCTGGACTGCAACGGCAAACGGCCCACTGTACCAGTCCCGGATGGCAGATGAACTGAAGGAGCGATAATTTCCTGGGGGAAAACAGAAATACTTGTAAGGAAACCAGTAATCATCGGTGCTGAAGCTGTCCTTGTGTTTAACTAATTAAGCACTACGCCATGAAGGCGTACGGGGGAGTGGATGTATAGTTCCACATTTTCTTGACCTCAGCATCAGTTGGAGGTGAGTGGTCAGCTTCTCGCTGCGGCCGCTTTGCCCCCGGGGAAAGAGCCTCCGATACCCATTGGATAGGAGGCTGGGTGGGCCCCAGAGCCGGTCTGGACGACGTAGAGAAGAGAAAATTCTTGACCCTTCCAGGGCTCGAACTCCGACCCCCTCCGTCGTTCAGCCCGTAGCCAGTCGCTGTACCGACTGAGCTATCCCGGCTATAATCATTTTCATTCAGAGCCCAACTCGGCATTGGAGACCAATGATTCGCCGTCCCTGCCATAAAGGGTTATGTCATGGGGTCGAGTTGATCTGAATTCTATATTAGTTTCGTATGGAGACAGCGCTAATGAAATTCCTCCATTAGAATACGAGATGAGAACAATAGACACGTGTACAGGACATACAAGGATAGAGCCATGCTCTTCTGAAAGAGCCAGAGCTCGCATCTTACCTTAGTGCATCCACTCCATGAGGGCACGCGGTAGCGTAGTTGGTTGAGGCACTATGCTACAAGCCTGAAGGTCGCAGTTTCGAGTCCCGATGGAGTGGATTTTTTTTTTCATTTGACCTAATCCTTCCAGCCGCATTATGACCCCGGGGTCCACTCAGCCTCTAACAGAAATTTGTACCAGGAATATTTCTGGGGGTTAAAGGGTGGCCGGCGCGGAGGCTGACGACCTTGCCGCCATCTGTGAGCCGATTGTCTAGAAAATGTGGGAGCCTCGACGTGTCACAACCATATGGGCCTGCACGGTCTGTTACAGCGATAGCTTTGCCTTTTCACTGAATAACTCTCATGGAACACATTTCATTTGGCCGTCACTATGAGAAGAAACACAGAGCTTCCGCCACTCAACCTATGACGTCAATATCTATGAAAAAGTTCGATGAATGGTATTCAGATCCGTCCAGAGAGGCGAACAGCAATTGGATATAAAGTCCTTTATGTTTTGTATATTCCGATATAATGCATTCCATCCACGCTGTCGAGAGGGGGGACTGGTGTCCTGAACGGAAATGTTCAATGAGTAGAAGCACTTGACCATTCCAAGGTCGTGCCTTCAGAAACTTCCTCCACGGGCAGCAAAAAAGACAGCGATTGGATTGTTCACTCGTAGGCGCTGGCTCTCGAGAGTGAATCAGTGTTCTGAAGGTCTGACGCCACGGCATGGAATAGTACAGTGCGTTCAGTTAAGGAGGAAACTTCGCAACACCGCTGACCCGGCCCAACATTCCTCACAGATTGCTGCTGTAACTGCCGATAGCAGAATGAGTCATTAGCGCTGATAGACACGCGGTGTTACAATTACAGCAGCAATCTGCGAGGAATGCTGGGCCCGGTCAGTGGTGTTGCGAAGTTTCCTCATTAATTGAACACCCTGTACTGCTATCCTGCAGCCGATCAGAGTACGTACATAACCTGGCAGCATGGTATGCCATTGCCTTATGGCGTTCTCAGTATGCCGGACTGCGTAGCATTGAATTGTAGGTTACATGAATGATGTATTGAATTGACGTATTGTCCTGGCCTTCACTTAGTAGGACTGAGAAATACCACGAAAATTATTAGGACAGCTGGTGTCCTGGCTCGAATACGAACCAGGAGGAGGTGACATGTTCCTCCGAAATTCTGGGTGAGTTTTTCAACGGACTACACGGCGTCATATCCTAGAAGATGGAACTCTTTGTAGAGGTTAGTGTTAACAGACCTTACTGCAGTGCAGCGCCCTGTCAGCGCACTGTGTTAACATAATGTGACGCAGCATCGTTACGATTTTGCAGAGATATGATTCTAGAGGATGTTGCAGGCATGTTTCTTGATCGTTGAATGTTACTGCCAGAAATATTCGCCTACTGTCTTGTAAGTACCGACTTTTCCGTTTTGTGAGTTGGTTTCCTGTAAAATTAAAGTCTGTGGGGGGTCGTAAGATAGGCGCGAAGATACTCGGGTGCAGGGAGGTGAAGCTTGCCAACTTCCCAAATCCCAGTGCTGCGAGATAAAAATGTTGCGAGAATCGACTCTCGAAATAGTTTCATGGCGGATAATACCACAGATACCTCTCGTCCATAATTTTCGTTAGGATTAGACACGCGCCATCAATTCTTGTAATCGGAATATAAAATTTGGGGCCCCGCTATTGCGTACATTTCCCATGCTTAGTGCCCGTATTTTTTATGTTGCCACTTATTTACTATATTTAACTTCCAGCATGAAGATTTGGCTTGTTGCCGGTGTAACCCGTCCACAGGTCTGGCAACTTCAGCCGGGAATGCTAGTTTGATACTTGTAGAGCGTGTTTATTAATTTGCACATAACTAGGCGTCATGATTCTCCTAATATATAATGTTACACTCTCACTCGATTACGGGTTAGATAAAGCTGATTCATGTAAGGTAAAAAATTTAAAACTGACCCTTATCCGGCCGTTGAGGCACAAAGGGTTGTGAGACGTCGATGTCCCCACATTTCCTATACACAGTCGCCTCACAGATGGCGTTAAGGTTGTCAGCCTAATGCCCCGGACGCTCTTTATCCCCCCAGGAAGATTCCTGGTACTCATTTCTGTGAGAGGCTGAGTTGACCCCAGGGCCATGGTGTGGCTGGAAGGATTAGGTCAATTGAAAAATCCTGTGACCTCATCGGGACTCGAACCCGCATAGTGCCTCAAACAACGAGGCTACCGCGTGTCCCCAGCTAATTCATATATATTGCTGACAATAATAATATATAGATTTATGGCAAGATACAGTGGTCGTGGATATTTTCACCCGAAGACAGAGGTAGAATCCAGTCTCCGAAACATTGTTTTGAAATATAAACAGGACGTTGCTTTTAGATAAAGACAAAACGATGGCTAGTGCCCAAAAACACAATATTTGCACCGACTTGACCCTTTGAAGCACGAAAGTGAGGGGGGGGGGAGGT